CATGGCTTTGGTGGTGCATGGTTATGGGCGTGACACATGGCTTTGGTGGTGCATGGTTATGGGCGTGACACATGGCTTTGGTGGTGCATGGTTATGGGCGTGACACATGCACCCTGAGACCTGTGTCACCTTTGACCTCTGCCTGGCGTGGTGAGCTGTGACCTGTGCTCGTGCACGCTTGTGAGTTGCGCGTGTGCTTGCACATACGTGCGTGCGTTTTTGCGTGACTTTGGTAATGCATGTACGTGGCAGATGACAAAAATATTGTCCAATATGTAATTTGTGATATCAAATGCACATGCATGACTATGCGCATGGCAGATGAGCAGCATATTGCACAATATGTAATTTGTGATATCAAATGCACATGACGACATAAAATCAAACGGACTGCATACCAAAATGTGTAAGTCATCACATCTTGCCCCCGCAAGCGGTATGCCTTATCAGCTCGATTTGTGAATTCCTCTGGCGTTGTCACTGACCAGGCGTGCATTCCTCCGGCGCATTCCTCTGGCATAAACTAGGCGACGCTGTCGGAACAGCGATGCCGCCGTGAGTTCCACTGTTTCACGCAGCATTTGGTGTTTGCCGATCTCGGTGGCATCTCAAACAGTAAGACAATGATTATCTGTGGCCAAGTGTCACGGAGCCTCACTTTCTGATCTGTGCCTCCTGATATGCTGGCTTTATGAATCTCCCTAGTTTCAAGCCACGCGCCACCTTCGTCGCGCCGGCCATGTTCGTTGATATGCGGGGCCTGCGGGGACTGCGGACCCGGGCGGCCCCGGGCGGGCGGCTATAGGTTCTACCGTTCGGAGGAGAATGGATCGCCGGTCGCCGGTTCGACGGAGCATGCGCGCGACCTGTCGCACCTGCTGATCGTACGTGACCGGCTGGAGGGGGACGTAGCTCGTGGGCTGACCGAGACCATCCGGCGCAGTCTACCAGCCCACCTGTCCCGTCTGATCCGCCGCCGGCGAGGTCGCCGGGCCGGCGCCCGCAGCCGCCGGCCGATTCGGGTCGCATGCGGGGCCGACAGGTGCCGCCCTGCTCGCGCTGCTGATGTAGTGCACCAGCCACAGACGCTAGTGTAACCCGCCAGGCGGACCGTGCCGCAGACTCAGCGGGAGTGCGCGGCTGTGGCGGGCGCGGCTGAGCCCACGAGTCGACAGCGCTACAATATTAGTGATGTCAACGTCGGGTCGCTGACACGCCGACAAGACGAAGTCAACCAGCCTCTGCAGAAACACAACATGAATATGCTGTGTGTGTCTGAGGCATGATTCAAGCCTGAAATACTCGACAGAGTGCTGATCTTCCCGGGTTTCAGCATTCTGTGGCATGACCGCGGCGTCTTCCGGCTGACAGCAGCCCAGCAGATCCAGCAGCGCGGAGGTAGGTCACCATACTGGTCGCGGACTGCCCCCACCCTGTGAAACTCGGCATAGACGGTACCGATCCGATGGTGGAATTCCTGCGGCTGTTGGTGAGCGGCTCCGGCCGCCGCATCGTGGTGAGCGGCGTCATCTACGGACCGCCGGGGGACCAACGGCCCGATGCCTGGACAACGTTAGAGACCAGCTGCAGGCCGCCGTCGCCACAGGAAAACCGGTATTCGCACTGGGAGACCAACATAAATCTTCTCAACCCGGACGGCCCCAGTGTACGAGGTTTTCAGAGCATCTCGAGGGACATGCGTCTCGAACAGCTGGCCGTCAAGCCCACCCAACTCCATCTGACACCAACGCTGCTAGACCTGATCGTCACCAACGTGACCGGCCTCCGGGACTCAGCTGAGGCTCTCCCCGAGCCTGCGGCGGCCACCAACCGGTGCTACTCCGCGTTCCCGTCCTCAGAGAGTGCCCGCGGTCAGTCACCACCACCGTGCGACCGTGCAAGCGCCTCGGGTGGGAAGCGTTCAACCTGAGTCTACTGCTTGTCGACTGGGAGCTGTTCTACGCCGCTGGCACCGACAATGACAGGGTGGCCGCATTTAAGGAAGCGTGGAACGTCGCGGTCGAAGCCCACTGCTCGACCATCACCGTGACGTCATGCCGGCCCGGCTGTGCACGGCTGCGTGAAGATACCGAATTATCCGCAGCTGTGGAGGGGCGCGACTGCACTCGCGAGACCTGGGAGCGCTGCCACACCACAGAGGCGCGCCGCGTGTACCAGCGGCGCCTTATCAGAGTCAAAAGACAGGTCACTCTCGCGTGACGCGCCTACCTGCGCAGCGGTGTGCTGACAGGGCGGCGAGACTTTTTGAGCCGCAGCAGCTCGGCCTGCAGCCAGCGAGAGGTCGCGACACACCCGATCACGACATGGGCATCCGGGCGGACGCACCCAATGCCCACTTCGCCGCCCGGCCCCCGCATCGCTGCGGAGGCGGCGGCAGGTGCGTGGTAATGCGGATGCGCCCCCGGCTGGACCGCCCCCGTACCGTGTCGTTGCCTCTTAGCCTTCTCCATGCATCCACCCACTCTACCGGAGCTCTCTGCAGTCACTAGGAAGATGAGCGTGGCGGGGGCTGTCGGGTCGATGGCGCACCACTCCATGCAGTGATAAATTGTTTCCCTGTAATCGGTGCTTACATTCTACATCTGACCAACTTTTATATCAAATCACGCATCTTTCCGCCCTGCTAGAAGATCACGCGCGTCACCCCGGTGTTGAAGTGGGACGACCGAACAGGACCTGAACAACTTTCGGGCCCATATCTATTCTCTATGCACGGCTTCTTACTTTCTTTGTCGAAAAGTTCGGAGTAGGTTGTCTGCTCGCAGCTCACTACATACCTTATTGACAATCATATACCGGCGTCATCGCAATATGCGTTCCGTCCACGTCACTCGACGGAGGACGCTCTGATCGACGCTGTCGGGTGGCTGATAGGGACTGTCAAAAACGGTCATGACACGTTGATAACGACGATTGATCTTAGTAAGGCCTTTGACAGCATTGATCACGGTGTCCTCCTGAGCAAGGTAGAACGGTGCAGGGTGTCTTCGGAATGGTTCCGGGGCTACCTGAGCGGTCGGAAGCAGGTGGTTGGTGGTGACCCGGTTACCCCATCCCTATCTCACGGTGTAGCCCAGGGATCCCTCGTCGGCCCCATCCTGTTCCTCATCCTCATCAACGACCTGTCCAGCTTCCTACCCCCCGGTCGCCTGCTATCCTCCACCGATGACACCCGACTCCTTGATTCTGCTTCCGCGATGTTACCGGCCGCCTGTCCAAGTTGAAAGTCCATGTCGAGGAGTCCATTCAGTGCCTCCAAAGCTGGTTTCAGTTAAAAAGACTTAGAATGACCCCAAAAAGACAGACTTCATACTGATTGGTACCGAACCCTCCATCGCAAAGACCGGCAACTTTCACCTTACCATTGCTGGCACGGACACTCATCCAGTACCTTCAGTGAAGGAACCGGGTGTACCCCGACCACCACCTCAACTGGGCACCCTACATCTCCTTGCTCGTTTGGTGCTGTAATGCAATGCTCGTATCCTTGTTCAAAATTAGACACCACTCCACTCCCGAGGTTTTGAAGCGCATTGTCCGATCTGAGGTGTAGCGACTGAGAGTCGCCTAGACAGGGTGTAAAGGGGAATGCTCTTCGCAGGCCAGGCTAGTGAGCGGTGTCTGCCGCGGCGATCAAATTGCACCCGTTCTGGAAGCGCTCGGCTGGCGTAGCGTCGCGGATTTTGTGCACCACCGGGACCGCCTGAATGTGCACAGGGCGCTGTACGTCCCCGAGTCTCCCAGTGCACCGCGTGGTCTATTCGTGACATGCACCATGTCTTCCCGACGTCAAACTCGGGCTGCTCCGGCCTGCGTCGGCTGGCTACATATGCCGCGCGTCCGACTGCGCGCTACTCGGCGGCATTTTCCGTACCGCGCCGTCGCCGCGCGCAGCCGGCTGCCTGTGGTGGCCGTCCGCGCCCTCTCGCGCCGGCCATTCTAGGCTGTTTTGATCGCTGACTCATTGACTGAGACTGCTTTCACCTGTGTGTCTGTGTATCTCTGTGTACTGCGTGTGGGTTTTTTCCTTGTACGACTACGCGCAGAACATCCACCGCGTGGATGTGCCTTCAGTAAAGTAACTGTAACTGTATCTGTTGTTTCGTCATGTGACCTTTGTCCACCGGTCTCCAGTGACCTGCCGCAACTTTGACTGCATTGTCACTTGTGTCGCATTTGACCTGCACCCTTTGACCTGTGCCCCTTTTGACCTGTGACGGAGTGGTGAGCTGTGACCTGTGTGCGTGCGCACTTGTGAGTCGTGCATGTGCGTGCGTGCGTGCGTGCGTGCGTGCGTGCGTGTGCATGCGTACGTGCGTGCGTGCGTGTGCGCGCGCGTCGATGCGTGTTGACTGAATGTGTGATCGTGACCAGTGTAACCTGTGATGTGTGATCGTGACCAGTGTAACCTGTGATGTGTGATCGTGACCAGTGTAACTTGTGATGTGTGATCGTGACCAGTGTAACCTGTGATGTGTGATCGTGACCAGTGTAACTTGTGATGTGTGATCGTGACCAGTGTAACTTGTGATGTGTGATCGTGACCAGTGTAACTTGTGATGTGTGATCGTGACCAGTGTAACTTGTGATGTGTGATCGTGACCAGTGTAACTTGTGATGTGTGATCGTGACCAGTGTAACTTGTGATGTGTGATCGTGACCAGTGTAACTTGTGATGTGTGATCGTGACCAGTGTAACTTGTGATGTGTGATCGTGACCAGTGTAACTTGTGATGTGTGATCGTGACCAGTGTAACCTGTGATGTGTGATTGTGACCAGTGTAACTTGTGATGTGTGATCGTGACCAGTGTAATTTGTGGCATGTAACCTGCGTCCTAGCGAACGCACGGGGGAGGGAGAGCGCTACAGATGTCACTAGAAGCATTGTCAACACTCACTGGGATAGCATCAGAAACACCATGCACTTGCGGCTCCACAGTCGTTATTACATTTCCTTGAAGTTTGGTGACCATAAGCCTTACCGGTAGTAAGAACGACAGATGCGCAAGCATGGCATTATCCAAGCGGCCGCGAAGAACGCCAGGATGAAGACCTTGTTGGCGATGCTGTCGGATATGTAATCAAAGCTGCAGGAGGTCATGTATCCTTCCGGAGAGTACCGCACTCCTGCGGGCAAGAGAATCAGTATGGCTTGGAGAATTGCCTGAATGGTTTCATTGTTGCGATTGTTACGAGTGGGGTCTCTGGCGAACTGATGTCTGGGAATGCTAGACGAACAACGGCGACCAGAACATTGGATTGTGGTCTCGAGGGCAACATAATACCGGGTTTTCTTTGTCTGATGATCCTGACCGTAGCACAGTTAACAGCGAGCACCAAGCTAATGTATCTGTACGTCAATGACAATGCACGAAATTGCTTTGATGAAAACGTTGCAGTTGATACAGCTGCAGTTTCACCCAATCGTTGCACTTGGTCTTCCTAGTTTGTTGTCTATCCCCACAGTTTTAAATAAGAAGTGGTCACACTGGCGGAGAAGTTCCATGTTTTCTCATCAGACACTCATCCTTTTTTGAAATTGCAAATGAGATAATGATGAGCTCGGAGGCGACGTTGCAATATTGAACAAGGGTACATGATCACGTAGATCCAACAATAATCATGACAAGTGAGAGCCAAAGTGTTGGAAAGGAATTCCACGCCGGGAGCGGCCAAACAAAGTCACCTCAGTACCCATATAAAGCTCTCAAAACGCTGAGAGCCGCCGGCGTGAGTCAGTGACGTCACCGGCAAGCCAGCTGACAACCGGACGCTCACCTGCCATGCCGAGTAGCGGCAAACAGCTGAGCACGAGCCCGTACGCCCAGGTGGAGCCGACTTTGGAGTAGGCCTGTCGCCGGGTCAGCTGGTGCGTGAGGTCCAGAGGTCGGCAAATGGCCCGGCTGCGGTTCTCAGCAATCACTGCCAGGGTCATGATGCTGGCCAGGCCGGTCGCGCCCGTCGCGAAGCCGTAGAACTGGCAACCTGGCGGACGCGGTTACCAGTTCATTTAGTGGCGACGGGGTTGCCAGTTCATTGCGCTGAGGTGCTGTGGTCAGCTCCAGGCCCGTAGGCGCGTCCCAAACGCGAAGGTTCGTCATGTCGAAATTCATTGTTGGCGTGCATCGCTATCCTATGTGCTTTCCTTTACGCGCAGCCAGCGAAAATGCCCCGATAGCGAAACAAACTCTGCCGTGTACGCAAAATCGGCGTACACAGAGACAAAAGCCCAGCCACCTTCACGAATGCGCCCTTTCAACTGAATGCACTTTGAAGGCACCTTACCGACGACGCCCAGTACTGGTCCAGTGAAGATGGAGTTGATGACGATGGTGATCGACTTGAAGACCATGATGAAGTCGCTGATGGCCAGATTTAGCAGAAGGAGGTTCGATGGCCTCCTGAGTTTACGGTGCCTGTCAACCAACGAGGTTGCGTGATATTTTAAAAATCGTTTTTGTTCGATACGCTTCGATTGCAACCACACATCACTCAACACTCGGTGCAGTTGCTTCACGTATCACATGCGCATATGGAGTGCGTGGTGGATGTAGATGCACGGTGCACACGTGACTCCATCTTCACGATCACACAATATTTTAGCGAGTCAGCAAGGTGCAACCATGAACCGTGCGGTAATATCTCCGGAGTAGCGAGTAACACAGACACTGCAGCATGACCTTCACACCTATCATTTAATGTGTGAGACGTAATCAGACATGCAGCGGTAGGTCGCCGTAGTGGACAAAAGCGATGGATGACCCGCAGTGGATGATCTTATGGATGGCAATGGACTGACGCCAGTGATTAGCGCCCTGTGATGGGAAGCGGCGGAAGTCATCGCTTAGCGGGCCATTTAAAGCGCTTTGAATACAGGAACCAAGGTAGAATGGCAACTTCGCTGGCGGTGCGAGTGCGAATGACGCACGTGGCCTTGGAGTGCTAGCGATGCGAAAACAGTCACAGTCGAGATGCGAACTCGGGGTCCTTAGCGTGGGGTCCGTTGTTCTCTTCACCGTCATGTCAGACTATCAAATGAAACAAATGACAAATGAAATGCGGGGGGACAAATGAGATGCGCAACAAGCAGACTTCAACGTGACAGACGTGGCGGAAGAGTTGAGCACGCTTGAACTGACCAGATCAATCACAAAACTTTGGTACTGCGGATGCTGTCGGCAGGAAGTTCTCAAACTGGTCTGAGCAACTGCAATTTAGACTTGACTCTCAAGAAGAATGACCTGGAGCTCCTGGTAGGCAACATCGTGAATTTTGCTCCTATTTGTTTTCATCGAATTGATATTCTTATCCCGACAACAATCGTCATCTAATGTACCTGAAAATACTGCTTAAACGATAACATGAAGTAGACGGACGCTGTTCTTGAAATGTCTTTGTTTTCTACCCATTACCGAGACAACTTGCTCACCCCGCGAGTCAATGTGCTGTAAGAATCGATCCCAAACAGAGGCTGAGATATATATTATTCTAACGCTTGTAGTACTAACTATTATAGTACTTACTACAACGCTTAAAGTATAAATTGCAACGCACACCACAGACAGCTCGATAATAGAGCCACCCTTGTTAACAGTTTTTCTACGATTATGGGAAGCTACGATTAACTACGATTATTTTCTACGATTATGGGAAGATTAAGAATTAATTCGGAAAATGTTATCTTTATCAAAAAAGAAAGCCAATGTCAGCTATGCTGTCATTTTCAATGAGACATATCTCAACACAAAACCTTCCTTACTACTTCACATATACGTAGGTCGATTATATCAATAGATTATTAGCATAATAACTTCTATCATATGCAATATATACTTACATATATATATATATATATATATATATATATATATATATATATATATATATATGCACCTTTTGACAATAAGCAACTTTAACAGTAAACAAATTTTACAATAAACCAACAGAGATCGAACAACCAACCGCTCACCCGTATTATCAAAATCAAAAGACATCTGCCTACCAACAAGACGAGAAAGGTCTGCGGGAATCATCTCGCGAAATCTAAAAGGCAAGAACGACTATAAAATAAACATAGTCATGCATCATCGCAATTGGAAAATCTCTAACTTTCTTGCGAGAGACAGCCCCGGCAAATCCGACAAACTAAAAGGCACCAATGTAGTGTATCAATTCAAATGCAATATTAAAGGTCGCGGATGTTCTATGCACCGCATTGCCGTAACCACAACGACACTCTCACGACGCCTGACAATGCGTTTGCGTGATGGGACACCTCTGGAAGACATGCGACACGAACATGGTAGAACGTTGACACGACAACAACTGACGCACAACACTAACATTCTTCGTACGTGCAAAAACAGAAGACGCCTTCAAGTTTGTGAAAGCATATTTATTAACAAACTCCTTCCAGCCCTAAAGAAACAAATTCTTGGACAACTCTTCAGTGATCCGGTGGTGGGCGGTAAGAACCATGAATGTCATTGTGGCAATGTGTGCGTGTATTTGTAGTGTTTTCGCTATGGGTGTATTTGACATGTATCAAAGTAATAATAGGATTTTGTCTTATCTTATATATATATATATATATGTTTAGAGAAAGAGAAAGAGGGAGAGAGAGAGAGAAATATATATATACATACATACATATATATATATATATGTATATATATATATATATATATATATATATATATATATATATATATATATATATATATATGTTTAGAGAAAGAGAGAGAGGGAGAGAGAGAGAGAGAGAAATATATATATATATATATATATATATATATATATATATATATATACATATGTCAGTCCCTCGTTACTCCTTGTTGCGACAAGAAGTCGTTGTCACAGCAATTTTCAAATTTCCTGATGACACCCCGGTCTAGAGCATCGAGTGCTCTTTAAAAGATATTTCTGAATACGTTTATGTTTTTATATCTTATATTGTTTTCCCCCCTCATTGCAAATAACGACAAAGAGCCACCACTACGCGGAGCAGCGAGGAGCCGGATTGAGGTCTCTTTAATCTTGGCACGCCCATTGTCGCCTTTGTTAAGCCTGCCGGCCTGCACTGGGACAGTCGCAGTGTCTGCATGCGAGCGCTGGAGTTGGAATCGATAAGACGTTGGTTCCTCTTGCATTAGTCGTGGTCGGTTATGGGCGAACGGCTTATAACTTGCGAGCCCCAGTGCTCGAAATACCATTGATGTAGATCATCTATCACTACTCATAGTGCCCGGACCCTCCATCAGCCGGGTAAGGGATGTCGTTGCCTTGTAATCAAATAAAAAGCCGGAGTCGGTCGATCGGCTTATTGGAGGCCGAAGGGATCAACGGCGATGGAAATGCAATGAGAACAGGCTACACATGCTGGAGCCCGCGCCCTTTTTGGCTGCTATTTATCATCTCAAGAAAGCAGGCCAGATCATAGGCATTTTGTGGGAAACGGGCGCAAGCCTTCTTCCCGTCTGTTTATGACAGGCTCGCTCGCCGTACACTAACCGAATGATACGGTACAGCCACGAAATGCATTTAAAACTGTTTTTGTCGTCTGAGCCTTGTATACGGCTAGCTTAACGACGAATAAAAGATCAGGTTTTGGCTACACTAACTCACCTGAAGACGACGCAGACGACGAACATGTTGCCCAGGCAGCCCACCAGGAGGATGAGGCTGTGGAAGACGGCGATGATGACGTGGTTGATGTACGGTGGAGCGTCAAATGAAGCCCACATCGGCTGAATCGACTGCAGGTACTGGTCCGAGCACATGCCTGAGGGATGTGATACACCACATCAGCACGATGGGCATTGTTCTTGCCTTTGATAACTGCCGCCAATTTATAAAACATGACTGCAAATAACAAATGAGCCCGCGTCACTACGCGTCGCTCCACTCTCCAGCGTCAGTTGAAGCGTGCGTTTCTGCGACCACGTCATCAGCTGTCCAGTGCACGAATGAGCGCCGCCATTGGCCGGCCGGTGGGTCATCCTAGCGGGGTCAGGGCCGACCTGCATAGAGGCGGACCAAGGCAACGAACGCGAAGGAAAGTCGACAGGAGGCGAGGAGTTAATAAGTAAAACCTCTCGCATAGTCCCTCCTCCTCACCCTGAACTTCAAAGCCGCCAGTTCATCGCTGGAAGCGATGGCCAACGCAAGGTGATGAACAAAGCATCTATCTGGAAACTCATCTAGGTTAACTCGGTTAACATCCAAGAAACGCAAAGCGTCATGGAACAAAACTGCAGTTGTCCAAGAGCTCATGGTGTTCACCGACCGGAGTAGCAGCACAAACCGTTGCCGCCGTGACCACGGCTGAACGCAGTCACCAGTGTTCGCAATACAGTTGTTGAAAAATCTCAGGTTGAAAAACCTATATTTTGCGGCTTTTGTCCATGAACGTTGCTTAATAATGGTATATCTAAGCATTCCCAATATTGATACCTTATCAAGCTAGATTTTAGTCTTGCTTGGGTAATTGCCCTTTGGGACAAAAATTTCACAACTAATACAGGAAAGCGCATGTCTATATAGCATTGATTGAGGCTTTGTGTAGCTTTCGGTAAACAGCACGAATTGTAGTGTACCTATCATGGTTGTAAATAATCCTGTTTTTCCTTGGTGAGTGCTTGAAAACACTTCGGTTAGTCCTGCATCATAGAAGCGAAATTTTGCGCTTTAAAATTGTTTTCTTATGTTCAAAGTTTATGGTTATCCTTAATTATTTCACATGTTAATTTTGAAGGCTGGCTAGCATGATAGTTGATAGCCACCATTTCGTGGGTGGGCTAGGTGGCATTCTTTGTCGGCTACCATGCTAAAAATGCCGATCGTTTTATTTGGGAAATTGAGGAGGGGGAGAGGTGGCGCAGAAAGAAGTCTGTTCCTAAAAAGAAAACAGTCTTTTCCTTTTTGGGACACCTTATTTCTATACTTAACTGCGTCCAGAAGCTGATTTATAATCAGATTTAATTCTTTTCTGTTATCAAGTATTCTAATTTTGTGCATCCTAAGACCCATTTTGATGCCCCAAAATATCAGACCGTACGGCGGAATGCTTTCACCTCAAGTACTCACTTAAAATCGCTGTCATTTTCAAATGTTGCTTACATCATCTTTAGCATGCAGACGTGAATTTTTGACCAAGTTTATTTATTTTGGCAGATCTGGACTCCAATGCTCATTCTGGACCCGCCAGCGATTATGGTCTGATGACTGTTGTGCGCAGCGGATCGTAACAGGCAATGGTTTACTGTTACGGTCGATCATTACGTAGGTTTCTTTCTCGTGTGAACGGGCATTTATTGTTTGAGCTTGCTGCAAGGTCAGTATGAGCCGCGGCACGACGTTGTAGCATGTGCAAAGACAGGCTGTGGGTCCGTAGGTACGTCCCTAGTTACATCCATGTTGAGAGTGAGAGAAATAGCGGGAAAGAAAGATAGATGGAGTGTGACTTTTTTGAGAAGTAAAAGAATACTAAAGGCTTGGTGTTGTGTCAGATCGAATGAAATGCGTAGCAGAAGCTTAAGCGTGAGCAGCAAACCATTCCGTTGGCATTCATGAAAAACATTCATTCAAACAATTCATTCATTCATTCATTCATTCATTTCAATACCCAGAACTTGTCGCTCGATGCAGTAATCATGAACAGGTCACTGACTTTATTCAATCTGCATCTGGAATGGCAGGATCTTCAATGACAGGGATGGATGAACAGGACTGTCGTCTGCCACGAATGGAGCTGGTGCAGTGAAGGAGCCTGGGATGAATCCTGGACACCGGAAAGGAAAACAACATAATTGATGCGGGATTTAGAATGGTGTTTTTGTTCAAGATTCCTGTAGAAGAGAAGCACAAAGCACAACATCAAAACGCTAATAACAGGAAGTTTTCGGTGCTTCATACACTATAAGACGCTTCGTCTTTAACACGCGCTCGGGTGGGGCGGGGGGGGGGGGCAAATTTGACCCTTCGGGAGGTCAATTTGATCCCTCGAAGATGTTTTCGGAATAGTTTCCGAACGGCGCTGCGCAACCGCGCCAAACTCTGCATAACTGTAGATAATTAAATAGCGGATCGTCAGGCATCACAGCTTTAGACGTACCTTGTAAGGTCGCTGACCTATGACAGATCAAAGTCAGGCCATGGTGTCAGCGAATGTAATTTGTAGGGAATCGTTCAATCTGATCCATCAGCGGAGTGTTAGACGAAGCCATATATCTCTGAAATACTTTCTTATGCAACACAACAATCGAATGAACAAGTTACATTGGCTTAACAATGGTCAGGTATAAAGGTCAGACCAAGGCCAAAACCAACCTGTTCTTTTACTCTAGGGCTTGCTGCATGAGGTAGTTCCTTGTGCTCAGTTAATTGATAACAAGAACCACACTTTACACCTTCCGTAGACTTCTTCAACGTCAGAGTAGGTCACTGACCTGGAATGGCCCAGGTCAATATTTTGTTTTTAGGAACATACTGCCTAGCGTAATCTTTGTTGCTTATTCAAATGCAAGACTCAAAGCAGTCTTGTATGATTTTGGTCACCGCGGCCTTCAAAAGGTCAAACAGGGTCGTTGACCTTAGATGAGCATCTGACCTTTCGCTCGCGGGGACGGGATGTCCAGGAGGTGCTGCTGCTCGCAGGGACAGAATGCCCAGGGGGTGCTGCTGCTCGCAGGGACAGGATGTCCAGGAGTGCTGCTGCTCGCAGGGACAGGATGTCCTAGAGATGCTGCTGCTCGCAGGGACAGGTTGTGCAGGAGGTACTGCTGCTCGCAGGGACAGGATGTCCAGGAGGTGCTGCTGCTGATATATCCCCGATTTCGCCACAGAGTCACGTCTTGGGAGAGCAACAACCTCGTCAAATTCGCCACCAAAAGCGAGAACGGTAAGGAAATACAGGATGCGAAAACAATAACCATTTGCACATGGCACGTGCAACTCGGTACATGTTTGGTGCACTTGCCTAGATGCACAAGGGTAATACTCATTGCTCATTACCCTAACAAACAAGGTACATGACTAACATCATGAGACCATGGCTACGAATAACGGCCAGCGAAGTTAGTTCGTGAATTTTAGTGGACTGGCCCAAATATCACAGGCCAGTGTCCAAACCAGTGGTTTTCTCACCCAACCAGTAATGTTTACAGGCTGCCTATGTAATGCACTAGCTCTTAAGCTGATCCTCAAGTTAATTTGAGAAAAACTGCTTTTAATTAGCACCCAAACTTTCTGCTTATCTTCACATACTTTCCTGTGTGGCTATGCCTCTCGTTCACTAATTAGCTGTAGCTGCACGTACACAACTACACCACTCATCGCACCGGGCTCTTCGTTCAGCCGGTAAAGTACGTCTTAGCACGCCCGGCTGGATCCCGACTAAAACACCGGCACAAGATGATGAGAGGAAGGGCCTGCTATCCGTAGAAACGACGCTAGTAATGGAGAGAGCTGTATGTTTACTCTGCTTCCAGAGGTGTATTTGCTGAGAGGATGCCACATATATTTGATGCGTTCTGGAGGCACTAAACAAACGGAATTTGTGATGCGTGAGTCGACGACGCATCTTGCTCAACAGAAAAACCAACAGTAATTATTTGCATAGCCTTGAGTAAAACCACCGCAAAAGGCCGCGATTAACAAGCAATTCGCAGGCACCAAGACGACGGGACCAATATGGTGTCGTTGCGCTGGTGTGCAGGGGCCGAATGTAAATATAAAATGCAAATTTAAAATGTGTCCGGCATGATTTCGGATTCCCGATGACTACACAGCCGTCCGAGGAACATAAGCTTTTTATAAATTTGACCCGACCCCTTCGAATGAAGGAATTTCTAGGATTAAAGCTCACGCTAAGCAGTGCGTGGTGTATGAGCCTAACCGCCACCATACGATCGCGTCATTCCAGGCAAAGCCAGCATTTAGCGGCGAAAGCTCAACGCGCCGCAATGCTAGGCACGGTCTGTCCTGCCCTCTGACGTCACCTGATCTTTGGCGCGTCCGCCGCCGCCGGCCGCAGGCCATACATGTCAAGGGCAAATAGCGAGCGCCCTAAAGCGACTCGAGCTAACCCCGCCACGGGTGGGTAGATCGGAAGGCAAGCGCTCTAACCAACTGAGCCACCGGGACGGATAGATGGGAGATGTATAATCCATCCGTGGGAGATGAGGCGTCATTGGTCTCGTAATCGCTCTCCTGATCTTACAGGAGCTTGCCGCTCTCTTATGAGTTCCTTTGATTGTAAACATCGTGTAAGGGGACCTCATGCTCCAAATCCAAGAACAAATGTCAATGTGTGCTGTTGCTGTCATCCGTCGGATTGTAACATGTTAAATGCACGGTGTCGATTCTCGTCTTTAGTCACGGTCAGACAATGCAGCGTTTTTGACAACTGACAATGCAATAGCCATAGTATAGCCAATAGCAGTGTCTTGCGCCTAACAAATGCTTCTATGCCAGATATTCTAAGGCAGACATTCTAGAACAAACCATTCAGTGCTTCGTGACATTTGAAGAGCATGCACGCTCCAAGTAATTTCCCTCCGATTATTTTTAACAATTGTTATGAATCATAGGATCATTTGAAATTATGCATCGTTGCTGTGATTTCTTGAAATCGTTCGTTATTCCCACGTAGCTTCTCGGCCCATTTCAAAATGCCTGCGAAAGCTCCGCGTCGTACGCCTTTGTAGCCAACCAACACCTACCTCTGGCAGACGTCAGCAATATCAGGACAAAATCACTGGAACTGGTGATGATGAAACAA